AGATCCCGTTGAACGTGCCAACCAGGATGTTCAGAATATGATGAATGGATGCAGATAAATAAATTAACACATTGGGCTAAGGGTCTCCGATTTATTTAATTCATGAAAAACCGTTGTTTTCTCCAAGGCGTACATCAGTCGCCCTATGAGACCAGGATTCGTTGCAAACCAAAACTGAGGCTAAGAATTTCAAATCTGCCCGGAGAAATTGTATAAAGCTTACAAACGACCATGACGTTTCTTTTGACATTGGCCGATCGCCCCAGCCATTTCGCAAACTGGCCGGCCAAATTCCAAAATCAAGAAAAAATCGGACATTGGCCAGTAAGTTTACAGTGACATTGGCCATTTTCCGTTGTGGTTGGACACTTCGACTTTTGCCCGATTTTGGGCCAAAGCCCGAATACGGTCAAAAGTGAAAGTGTTTTATATATATAGAATATACTATTGTCCTAAATTACTTGCGAAAAAATTACTGACTGATTTCTATTGATTCAGTGTTGTTATTTTAATATTTGTAACTCATTACAATTAAAACAATTTTATAAAATATATAAAATTATGAAAATAATAAATAATTAAATGAAAAGTAAGAATTAAAAATATAAATAACAATTAATTAAAAAAATTCACAAACAATTAAACTGTTGTCAATTTTCACAATTGTATACATGTAAATAACAATCTTGATAGATTGTATATGTACAGTACATATGTATGATTATTTATGTAATAATATAAACTTTCTATTTAAACAAGCAACCAAAAAAATTCATTTATTTATCTTCACAGAAGTAAATTTTAGGCAATGAGACACTATTTAAATTCAATGAATGTTGGATAATAGACGGATATTAAAAGATAAAAGCCAAAAGACAAAAGCAAAAACTAGAAAAATGAACAAGAGCCCAAAATGCTTTGTTTTCTGTCATTGATAGAAGTCATGCTCTTATCTCTCTGCTTTTTTATTGGTGATGTCCGAAGACATATGTATTGTGAGAATACTGGGACCGTTACTTTAGTGATTAGCAACGCGCCCAGAACTTACGATCCGCTCACGTTGTCTAAGGATGGCTAAATCGAGTGGAAGTGAAGATCAAGATCGTGTGATCTCGATCACCTCAGGATGCTGACACCACTTAAACTATTATTTTCGCGGTTTAACTTGCGATTTACTTACTGTCGCTTTTTCTAAAAGGAGAGCAAAATTATTTCGAGTGTAGAATGCATAGATAAAGGAATATGATGTCTGGCCATGAAAAAACCAAAGACACTCAGTTTAGAAAAGGAATAACAACATTTAATAATATAAAATAAAAAAAATCAGTCTACAAACAGATTATTCCAACATTAAATCTATCTTAACTATCTTGTTCTTAATATGAGAGATATGAGAAAAAGAGTTTATAAACGCTATTATATTACCTCTGTAATAACTTGACTTTTCCCAATTCTGTTTGGTGGGAGGAAGTTTCAATCCTTGGTAGTATGACACACATTCATAATAAGAGGATATTGGATGATGTGCAATGTGCAATGTGCACGGAGTGTGGCGCATATCCTGTATTTATACCATTTTTCTCCTCCAATAGGGATTAAGAATTAATATCATCTGACTGGGTGTCATGGTGAATCTTTTTGGTTTAGTCAGCCCTTTAGTCACGGGAGAAAAAATCTTTCTCAGGAACTGACTATCATCACAGGATACATTTGTTCCTTGTTTTCTTTGATTTATAGCTTTGATAAAAATTTATCGAAATATTATATTTAATTTTTAAATAATTTTCTATGTACTTTTTAAGATATTTTAGCTAAAAATATTCAGAATCTCACAGTATCAACTGTAGCTAAAGTATTACCATGAATCAAAATCGCATTATCCGGATTGTAGGCCAATTGGTTCCTGTTACCTCGAAAATAAAGTGTTTGTTTGCCTAACATGTTTATGATGCCTGTAATATTTAAATTAAAATAAATAGCGCCACGATATATAAAAATATTAGTATATTCTTGTTCCTCATCATCTGGCCTCCCCAATTTTTTCCGGTTAAACTAATAATGTCCTTGTTGAAATGGCCTCGATACTGTCTACACGGCAAGAAAAGTTTTAAAAAAGCAATTTCTTCTTTGTTTACTGGCCGTAGCAATTGAAATCCTTTTCGCTGGTGCTAAAAACCTTATTCAGATTTCTGTAAGAGAATTGACAAATAGCTACTCTTCTACTCTTCTGTTATACATCAATGACTTTATTCTTTGATAATATATTGTTTTGTACGCGGTTCTGAAAACTGTAATGATAGGAATTACATGCTTACTTCTCTTGCAAGTATGAATTAGGCTGTCTTTACTTTGAGATGTTCAGGAGTTAACTATATCTGATTCTACATTTTGTATTGTCTTCTATGCACAACGTTTTATGCATTGATTTACTCATAATACGTAATAAGATAACGATAAAACGTTTCTGTGGATATATATGCATGTACCGGTACATGTACAGTACGTATGTGTGTGCATGTACAGTATATACGTGTTACTGAGCGTGTAATCTTTCGAAGAAACTAGTTAATATTTGCATTCTGCTTATAAAAATACAAAAGTATATACATCTCTAATCTTGTCACTGATGTAAGAACGTTTTTCATATTTTAATTATTTTATATCAATAACTAGCTCTACCGGCCACGCGTTACTTTGGCTCGAAATGTATCTATTGTAAGATGGCCGACTCGAGGGAAATAGGGGACTTGAAACCCACTTCACGTCACCTGTGTAAGGTAGCCGTCTCATAAGTGGGAGACATTAATCCCGCGTCAGGATGAACCTAAGGGAAGGTTGTATGTGAGCTGTGACGGAGGAGGCAAATGATGGCAAGTGTTTTACACAAGAAAGCCGTTTATTTGTTAACATTTATGCTTACATCAACAGTCCTTCACTAGGGTTCTTTTCGTCGAAGATGCGGAGAGGCGAGGACTTCTGCGTCTGTCGGGCCCCGGGGCGGACGAGATGAGGTCGCTGAGCTAGGCGGACGATCGGAAGGAGGAAGCGGTGAAGTCCAAAGTTCTTGGCGACGACACACCACAATTTAAATCACAACCTTTCGTGGACTACGGAGGAGAGCCCCTCTGACCTCGGATTTCGGATTTTTATATTTTATATTCGGACTTCCCATTGGCCCTTCATCCCCTTTCTCGCTTCCCGATTGGTCTCTCTTTTGTTTCGGGATAAACTGAGATCGCCTCAGGTCACGGGAAAGGTCCGATTCCAAGTGTCTGCTCGACGCCGTTCTGTCGATTGTTGACAAAATTGCAAGACTCGCGCTCATAATTTAGCTCCGTTACTCGCGATTTCTGTCATCTGGGTACTCGAACGATCATATGCAATGATTTATCTCTCTTAAATCTTTCCCTCTTTTCGCAAATTGTTTCCCTAGATTGATTGTTTATGAGCGCTGGGGTCAAAGTTCTACCTGCATATGACCACTTGTCTCCGACTTATAACTTTTCACTCTGACATGGTTAGTTCGCTTAACACGTGTTCGAGTCATCCGAGACTCGTTGTCTACATTTTGTGCCACGTTGTTTAGATTAAGAGATTTTTCTCCCCCTCTCATTTTTAATCTATCGTTATTATTTAAACATAGGAATATCGCGATTTACATAATTCCAGACATCGGTTGGGTCCACACACTATTATAAATGTATAACACTCCCCGAGGGAAGGAATTTCGAAAAATCCTTTCTTAGTGTACATTCTTTTGACGTGTCCTATTAAAACACAATCAAAAATGAAAAAAAAAATTCCATCTAAAATAGTATAATAAAAGCCGAGTTCTTCACTGTAAGACTTAATTTTGTCCCTCTCCCCGCGGGGAGAATTTCGACAGTTATATAAAGTAAAAACATGCGCGTATTCGAATGCAATGTTGTATCAAAATTTGAAAGCAATAGGTTAAGAAGTTTCGGAGATTTACGATTTTGAACATACGAATACAGTAGAGCGTCGATTATCCGAAAGTCAATCATCCGAAACGACAATTATCCGAAAGAATTCCAGTCGACAAACTTAAATTTTCGTCAGTGCTGTAGCGCTGCAATCTTTGGCTATGTCTTGGGCTACTCAAATATTTTACGTTTTTGATACTAAATTAACTTCTGAAGTATAATTTTTATTGTTTTTATATTTTTCAATATATTTATTTTGTTCATACAAAATAAAAACAATAGTCTTCGTTAGGCTTAACACCGACGAAAATTCAACGCGAAGCGACACGCAACGGAGAAAAATGTCAAGATGGGAAAAATTAATATAATTTTTCGTACATAATCGGTTATCCGAAACATCGATCTTCCAAGCAACATCAGTCCCCAATTGATTCGGATAATCGACGCTCTACTATATTTACATTTTTATTTATATAGATTACAAATATCTAACTAAATATACCTTAAGAATTTTTAAAGGTTTTTAACCTTAAGAAAATTGTTAACTAGAAAGGTATTTTAATGGATTTTAGAAAAATTTTATTTTTCTACTACACCTGATATTGAAAAAAATGTTTATTGTTTGTTAATTTCAGATAAGTAATGAAAAGTAAAACTAAACTTCCATAACTGGTCAGATTTCTCTTCATTTTTTCAGAAAACTTTGCTTATCGTTCTCCTAAGACACATTCAAATTGCAAAATGAAATTGGATTGCGTAAGAAGAATTTTCTGCCTTATTTTTAAAAAATTAGGAAAAACGGTTGGACAGCATCCATATTACTTTATAGTTTCACCGATTATTCTGTCAATTACTCTCTCCATATTTGTCAGAACATTAACTACCAGTAAGACCTTTAAGGATATAATAACTGCCAATACAGGAAATCTTTTTACAGTAAAGAAATTCCTAGACAATACATTTTCATATAACTCATCTCAATTTTCTGATCAGCTAAGAACTATTGATTTACCAAACACTCTGGCAATATACCTGTTGAAAAAAAACGAAGGAAACATGTTTGAAAAAAATATACTTTCAGAAGTGAAATTGGTCGACGAAATCATAGAGAATGTAACATTAGAAATAGACGAAAAGACAATACAATATACAGATCTCTGCACACGTATACACAAAAAGTGCTTTAAAAATCCTATTATCGAAGTAATATCAGAAGTGGGAATTGATTCCATACTACAAAAAAGAAAAAAGCTAAAGTATCCTGTGGATATAGATCTCTTGTCTTTCACTTATAAAGCCTATTTTCTTAATTTAGGAGGTGTTTCTGAAGATAATCAAAATTTCGTTGATAAAGTAAATGCTGTTATGTTATTATATGCAACTGATGATAAAAATCAAGTAAAAAACAAATTATTTAAAAAATGGTCAGCTCAAGTTTATGACACAATTCAAAAATATAATTTTTCGTATATCAAAGCTGTTGGAAATTCTGCTCCAATGATGGAACAAGAGTTTCGAAAAGAATTTGATAGAACTAAACCTAAAATTGGAGGTTTAGTCGCAATTATGATTGTACTTTCGATATTTCTCAATATGAGCAATAGCTGGGTGAAAAGTAAACCTCTTCTTGGTGTAGCAAGTGTAATCAACGCTGGCCTGGCTGTATCGTCGTCTTTTGGATTAATGGCTGCGTCGGGTGTTGAATTCACTTACTGGAATGCTACGATACCATTCTTAGTTCTTGGTAAGTAAATCAACATCGCTGCAATGTACGTAAGCGATAACGATGATATATTAAAATTTTGCATATATTTCAGTTACCGAGATAGATGATGCTTTCGTATTAATAGCATGTTGGAGAATCTCTGATCCCAAATATGCAGTTGAAAAACGCATGGAAGTAACATATGGAGAAGCAGGAGTTTCCATCACTTTGACTTCACTAACTAATTTCATTTCCTACTGCATCGGGATGATGGCTCCTTTTCCCTTCATTCGAATATTCAGTTATTATACTGCAACTTGTGTCGCTTTGAATTTTGTATATCAGATAACGTTTTTCGGAGGATGCTTGGCTATGAGTGGATATAGAGAAGAGCGGAATCTTCGTTCTAGAAAATTTGTTAGATGTGGTAAGTTGGAATTCTTTTATAACGAAAGATAACTTTTCATTAAATTAATTACTTTATGTTTGATATAAAAGATGATGTTTGAGTGATACTTTTAGATTACAGAGATATTTGTTATCTGAATTTTTTGTTACATAAATGTAGTTTAGATAGTTGATATGCTTGTATCTGAAGTAGACATAGAATGTTAATGTTCTTATGGTGTTTTGCATTATACTGAACTACAAAAATTGTAATTAATATAAAATTTATATTTTATCGCGCATTGATTCTGCTGGATAAAAATGTTTGTCGCTAGGAGATGTGTATTCTAAAAAGTAACATATGGGATGAGTTAACCAAATAACTTGAATAAATTTGGTATATTTTAGTAGACAGAGTTTGTCACATGAGGTTTTTCTCAGTTATGAGACATACTAGCAATGCCCACATGACGAGCAAAAGCACACACTCTTAAAAATCACAGGAAAAACGGAAGAAGTTGCATAGAATTTCATGATGCAGAATATGTACAGTACAAAGAAATATATTTTTGCAGTCGATTTTCGTTTTCTTTTTCATTTCATTTATTATATTGATATTGCTTTTTACATTGAGCTCGAGAAGTTTCGTTTCTCGATGTAGATATCTAGATTATTTTTGAACATCCCATTTATACATTACCTCACATTAATGGAAATGTACAAAATAACAATCATACGTACGTTACCGTTAGGAATGTTGGTATAATATAAATCATAATATGTCCGAAACATGATAAAATGTTAACAATACAGAGAATAAACCAGGGCTGTGGAGTCGCGTGAAAATCTACGGACTCCAACTCCGACTCTGACACCGACTCCGACTTTTCCCTACCAACCCGACTCCGACCAGGGGCGGACTTGTTACCGAAAGACCCGGAAATTTTGATGTCATCACGTGACCCCAAAATAAAAGATCCAATAAATAGAGTTCTAATAAAGATAGAACGTAGAAACATTTTATTTCAAAGCTAAAAGACTCCTCTAAGTAATATATAAATATGTATTTGATAATTTTTACCATTCGGCTGTTATATATAACAGAGGAACAAAGTGTAACGCTCGGTCAAAAAATGATCCCTCCTAAATTTTTACATTTTTGGACTGAGAACACCTTGAAATTTCGAGTTAATTAAGTTAAAGATTCGAGGTTTTTCCTATATGTGTGGATGTTAGACTGTGTGGGGGGCATGAATTCTTTCACCTGTTTGAAGCCTTCTGTGGTCAGAGTAGTCAGAATACGAGTCGGATGGTTTAACACAGGAGTTAGTTATTTAAGTCAAAGTGGTTAAACTAAATCGTGTCCCCATATACATTCTAACATCTTAAGCTACAACATCTTAACGGGTTCTACTGTACTATTATAAAATGACAAAAAAGCTTACTTTGAGGGTAGAGACGAGTTTTATTTTATGTTTTTTAATTTTGAACGCTAATAACAAGTAAAATATTCATTAAGACATATGACACATGACCCCTTTTATGTCTTCACCCTGTCGACCTTTAATTAAGAACCAAAATTTAATAGTATTAATATGCCCCTTTATACGCAAGCTACAGTGCCACATTTCGTTTCTTAAACTTTGCCCATTGTGAGATATTGTTTAATATCTCAGAACAGAAAATAAAAAAATTAAATTAATTAGACGCCAACACACACACACAACTTTTCCCCTTTTATTGACTTTTTTGAGGGCTTCGGGAGGTTTCCAAACGTGTATATTGGCAAAAAAAAAATTATGGAGGGTCAAATTTCACACGATTCCAATACTTTTCCGTTCTATATACATAACAAGTTGGTAATTAAAAATGAGTCGGAGTCGGCGGATTTTTTGACCACTCTGACTCCGACCCCGACTCCGGCTAAAACGCCAAAACTCCACGACTCCGACTCCGACTTCGACTCCACAGACCTGGAATAAACAAATAAGTGAAAGCATGGTGGTGAATACCTAAAAATGGTATTATCCAATTTGTAGATATTTATTGAGATTTGGCTTTATAATTTTTTAAACAGATTAAAAATATATTAAAACAGCGTATACAAATAAAAACAGAATAGTCACAATGCATATGTCTTACAGTTTCAGCAATTGTCGAACAATGAACTTTCAAAATTATGACACTTACGGCATTTTTTGCTTTGAAATGGTTAACAGGTTTCTCTTACTAAAGATAAAACCATTTTTCGATCTACTAGAAAGCTTTGAAACATATAAATGAAGACTATAATTACTTACAAACTTTTCACACTAGTTATGCTGCAATGAAATTTTTTTTGTTATTTTCCTCTTTAATTAAAATGATTACTGTGTTTTTCGATGTATTCCTCTATTTAAGTGTTAAAAAATTTTAATTAAAGTTCTATCTGCGGGTATGAAACATGTTTCTCTGCCATTCCAACAGTGATGTCTACATAAATTTAGTAACAAATTTTTTAATAGGACCTTTACAAAAACGTGATTTGTTTTGCTATAGTGTCCAACANTTATTTCGAGTGTAGAATGCATAGATAAAGGAATATGATGTCTGGCCATGAAAAAACCAAAGACACTCAGTTTAGAAAAGGAATAACAACATTTAATAATATAAAATAAAAAAAATCAGTCTACAAACAGATTATTCCAACATTAAATCTATCTTAACTATCTTGTTCTTAATATGAGAGATATGAGAAAAAGAGTTTATAAACGCTATTATATTACCTCTGTAATAACTTGACTTTTCCCAATTCTGTTTGGTGGGAGGAAGTTTCAATCCTTGGTAGTATGACACACATTCATAATAAGAGGATATTGGATGATGTGCAATGTGCAATGTGCACGGAGTGTGGCGCATATCCTGTATTTATACCATTTTTCTCCTCCAATAGGGATTAAGAATTAATATCATCTGACTGGGTGTCATGGTGAATCTTTTTGGTTTAGTCAGCCCTTTAGTCACGGGAGAAAAAATCTTTCTCAGGAACTGACTATCATCACAGGATACATTTGTTCCTTGTTTTCTTTGATTTATAGCTTTGATAAAAATTTATCGAAATATTATATTTAATTTTTAAATAATTTTCTATGTAATTTTTAGAATATTTTTATATATAATATGTAGTCCAAAAAGTAGCCATTGCGCCAAATGATATTTTTTCACCGATCTATAAAAAGGGTACCAAATTTGGCACCAATAGCCAAATCTTGAAACTCTGGAAGAAATGTTAAATAAAGCTAGAGTTGGGACTCAACGATTATAGACCAAAATTCGAAAAAAAAGAAAAGAAAGGCCAAAGGATAAAAAGTAGTCAGAAAGGTTAAATAGACCTATTATACAAGTATTGACCCTTAATTTTCCAAACTTTATCTTTTGTCCTTTCTTTCCTTTGCTAGAATTGGGGTCTATAAATATTGAGTCACAACTCCAGCTTTATTTAATGTAGCTTCACAAATATCTAAGTATTTGAAAATATTTCTTTTCCACTCAAAAATAAAATATGTATAAAGGTTTACGGCTCTGTGTAACTTCTTTTCGAGTTTATGCCGTTGAAATAAATAAAAACATTTGTCGGTGTTGTTTACACATTTATTAGGCAGCATTGAAACTTTCCTTGCGAAGATGCAAGTTGGACACCCCTGTTCTACAGTTAACACAGAATCGGCCTAAATCACCCACAAATGTAAAGAATTTTACCTAGAAACATCAGCTTGAACCGAAATCTCTTAGTCTACTACCTATTGAAAATTTAGAAAATAGTATAATAAATTTTATATAAAATTTCTGAAAATTACAGTATGTTTTGGTTCATATATAAATTTCAAACTTTTTCATTTTAGAACAATATGATGAACATAACCAGAGTAATAACTACAAAGAAGAAGAATTTACTATGGCACATTTTAGAGATTCATTAGGAAAGATAATTTCCAATCCAGTAGTAAAGATAAGTATTATTATAATTTACATTATTAACTTATCATTCGGAATATGGAGCTTATTTTATATGGAACATGGCGTTAAGTATGAACAATTATTTGCAAAAGACTCTCTAATTACAGAAAGCTACAGAATTGTTCATAAGTACTTTAGACGTTATTCCTATCCGTTTCACATTATTATTAATGAAACGTTGGATTACTCGGATATAAAGGTACAACAATCCATAGAAACTTTGTTGAAAAAATTCGAGAAACATCCAAATATAGCTGGAGAAGATTACACAGTATCGTGGTTGAAATTCTATAAAGAATTTCAGAGAAGTCCCGTAGCAAAATTTTCATTACAAGGCTACAATATGTCAAAAAAGCAGGACTTTATCGATGGACTTCTCGATGTGTTCTTTAATATCCGAGCTGCTCAATCACTGTCTAATGACGTCGTCTTTAACAGCAACAAAACTGACATCCTATACAGTAGATTTTTTATTATGGGAAAAAACTTGAATTCTTCTCACACAGAAAGGGATACATTAAGAGATTTATGGAAATTTGCTAAAAATTTCGAAATTTCTGTTCTTGTGCATTGTGTTTTGTCTGGTCTTATAGAGCAAGGGATCATCATTGGAGAAATGATTCAACAATTATTTTGGATTACTGCTATACTGATAACATCAGTTTTTCTTTTGTTTGTACCGAATTTATTAGTCGCAATTACTGTTGCAATATCTGTCGTAACTGCAATGGTAGAAACATTAGGTTATATGTCGATTTGGGGAGTCAACATGGATATTATATCAATGATGAGTCTTATTCTGTGTGTTGGATTTAGCGTGAATTATCCTGCTCATATTTCGTATGCTTATGTCATGTCACAATGCAAAACACCAAACGAAAAACTAAAAGATTCTCTGTATCGTATTGGTTTTCCAATATTTCAAGGATCATTGACCACGGGAATAGGAATATTGATTTTATATTCTGATGTATATTTTCTTTGCACATTTGCGAAAATTGTTATACTTGTTGCTATAGAAACGGCTTTTCATGCTTTGCTTTTTATTCCTGTTATTCTTTCTATCATTTATGCTATTTTCAATACATGTATTTGATTAATTTGTTGTCAAGTAGGAAATTTTCCTCTCACACTTATTTTTAAAAATTGTAGAACAACAGGTTAAAAGTTCTTTATTTGTCTATCGTGGTGGTTGTAGTAGAATTACTTTCTCTAATGATAAGTAGCATACTAGACAGCAATTATCTTACATCAGTTTCGATCATTGGAAAGCACTTCAGCTTTTTCCATGCCAATTACATCTGGAGTCTCTGCATTGTCGTTTTTGTCACCAGGGAAAATCCATTTTATGGCTGCCCTATTATTCTCCATAAGTAAAATTTGGTCGGCCAGTTGTTCTCTTCTACAAGCGATAATGCTATGAAGTTTACGCATCTCACTTCTTTTGAGTCACATCTCACTCTTAATTGGTTATATGATCTAAATATCGGTTTTTTTAGAATTCATCATAAGCATCAATGTGGAAGACATTTAGATTTCTATTTGTGTTTTCTGAAGACTAGCGTAACTAGTTATTGAAATCACGATGGAGGTGAACAAGCGGAATTTCGTTCTGAGAGAGATAAAAGGTGATTATCGTCCACTGGAAGACAGTCGCTACTTTTCCAATGCAGAACTTCACATCCACTTTCTCCTTACCTTTCTGGGAAATAACACTTTCCACCAAGTAAAACTTTCGACCTTTTACAATCGTTGTGCTTCGACAATTACTTTGGCGTTTGGGCTGTATTATATACATGCATACTTTTTCGACTTCGCAGCGGTTATTGTGAAGCCAATTTTGTCTGCCTCCTGACTCAATGTGGCTGTGGCACGCTGTATCTTCGTCTCATTTTTCTCTAATAGTGCAACGTCAACAACAAAAACCAAATATTTAATACAATGGTAAAATAAGTGAAATCCGGCCCAAATAGACGAACTGGGCTCATCTGTCTCTTGAATAACGTAATCGAATACAACAAGAAAAAGGAAAAGAGGCAGAACACATCCCTCCTTAACTCCAATCATAATTTTTTAGAAGTCCGTACAACCTCCCTCATTCTTGATGTAACGACTTTAATGTAAATACAGTAGATCGTCGATTATCCGAATCAATTGGAGACTGGGGTTGTTCGGATAATTGGTATTTCGGATAACCGATTATGTACGAAAAAATAGTTTAATGTATCAGATGTTAAAATTTCTCTCCGTTGCGTGTCGCTTCGCGTTGAATTTTCGTCGATGTTAAGCCTAACGAAGACTATTGTATCGTTAAAAATTATCTTTTTATTTTGTACTAACAAAATAAATATATTGAAAAATATAAAACAATAAAAAATTATACTTCAGAAGTTAATTTAGTATCAAAAACGTAAAATATTTGAGTAGCCCAAGACAATAGCCGAAGATTGCAGCGCCACNAGTGGTGTGAAAGGCAATGTTCAAGCCGATCTGCTGGCGAAGAAAGCAATCACGAACCTCAACAAGTGTGTTTACAATAAAATCCCATACTGTTGGATCGCGAGGCAGGTTCACTCCTATATTACTGACCGTTGGAACAACAAATGGGCCAGCAGCTCTACTGGAAGGACGGTGTTTCGGTTCCTCCCATCTATCAGGAAGAGGTTGAATTACAGTCATCTGACCCCCACGTATGAGCTCACTCAGCTCATCACCGGACACGGTAATATGGGGAGTTACCTTGCACGCTTCCTTATAAAAGGAAATGGCCTCTGCTCGTGCCCCTCCTCACCATGGCAGGATAGTGACCACATTCTGTTTGACTGCCCGAATTTTGACCAAGAAAGAAGAAGGCTAATCTCTGCCGCCCAGGAAGAAAACATCCCCTGGCCATGTAACCCGGACCAATTTATGGCCAACAAGTGCCTCTACAACGCGTTGTGTAAGTTCACTAAAGACATTAAAATCTTATCCTGAGTAAGGGCCACCTTTCTGTTCTATTGGCCCCATCGGTTTTGATTTGTAATCGGTCTCGGTCCTGTTCCTCCTACGTGGAGGGCCGTACATTCTGTAAACTACTTCTCAACCCGCCAATTGGGTTCTGGTACCTGCTTTGTATCCAGGCCGCAAGGGTCTGGCACTCACGGTCTCTCTGGCAAATTATGTATAGGTTAATAATCTTACTCTGTGTCGGGACAATTATCTGATATCTGTCACTGTAGACAAATTTGTAACACCTTGTTTATTCCTTTTATTATTCGGCCCCGGTGCTGGTCTTTATGGGATCCCTCCCTCCTCCCTTCAAACACTTTATCCTACCCCGCTCTCTCCATACCCTTCCCCCCCTCTTTAGGCTATGCCAAAGGCTCGGCCTTATCTATCTTCACAATATCTTCACAATACAGGTGTGACCAGAGGATCGGCACCATGTTACAATGCCTCGTTAGAATGACTCCGCTATGTCGTAATCGACATATACAATCGCGATAGTGATGTTCTTGCGCAAGCAGTTACGTATAGAAGGGGTTGTTTCTAAAGAGACAACGCGTTTAAGGAAGTGCACCAAATCCAAATTAAACAATAACAATTAACCCTTTATTTAGTTATTATACAAAGATTAATATTTAAAGTAAAGGTTGAGTTTACGATTTAACAAATTCGCGTTCTACGTTGAGAGAGAGAGAGAGAGAGAAAGAGAGAGCCTACATCTAGATAAGTTGTGTAGATACCTTACAATGCCGGATTGATGAAGCTTACAGTTAGATGCAGAAGTCACTTTTTTACAGATGTTTTTTTCTTCACTAAGTTATTTCAAAAGAATTCTTTTTCTGTAGGATTCACTTTAAAAGAGTTCACTTATTCAAGGTGTTTACTCTAGACGGAGAAAAATCCAGGAGGTATCCGAATGACGGGCAACTCGACGAGTCGAATTTCTGGAGACGACGACGTTCGTCATCCGACCCTCTCTTTTATTGGGGGGTTTCGTGTTTTCTATTGTATTTTTAGGAAATGTTACAGGTTGTGGCCAGTAGATGACTTTCGATGAAAGTTTTGGCTGGCACATTCGAAAGATGTGTCACCTTGTAAGGAAGTGAATCTGGTGGGAAACACAATCATATCTTTCCATTTTTTTTAATTGTTGAGATATATATATATATATATATATAATTTTTTGTGTTAATATAAAATTTAAACGATAATTTTCTTTTAATCAATATAAAAGGTTGTAATCGATAATAAAATCTGAGCTTTCACACAGGCACAGAAAGGAAGGTGATAACTCGTCAGTTGGTACACTCGCATACATTTTCTCTCTTAGGAATCTTGATTATAACTCCCTTTTCCAATCTTTATCCACTTTCCAGCATCTGATAAACAATTGCGTTAACTTGCTGCCTTCAGTGCTTCAAAATATCAACCGTAATTTCGTCCAAACCCCTTTTCGTCCAACTCTATTATCCTTTAGGCTCTTTATCGCAAACTTCACTTCTTCAAAAATAATATTACCAGTGTCTATCCCGAAGCTCATCCCGTGTATCCGTAATATGAAAATCGTTTGAGACGGTCGGTTCCGTTTGATTAAATGTTCCCCGGAAATGTGCCATACACCTCCTGTTCTGCTCGTCTTGAGCGATAAGAAACAGCCTGTTCTTAATTTTCATTAGAACCAGGAATTGCCCTTTATCCCAGTCAGTTTATTGACTATGCGGTACACGGTCTTGAAATCATTCTGGTGGAAAGGCTTTTGCGCTTCACTGCCATTTCGTTCTAACTATTTTTTCCTATTTTTTTCGAGAACGTTTCTTTGCACGTCTATCTAACTCGAAATATCTTTGGCTTCCTTTCTCCATTTCAGCCATTGTCTTAGCCTGGTTACTTTTAAGTTTTACGGCTTTTCTCTCATAAATTAGTTTCTACGAGCGATCTTGGATCCATTGACCCTTCCGTATAACTCGACGTCTTTCAATGATGATTTGTGCACATTCCGTGAGAATGTATCTGAGATTTCTTTTAGTTGGAGAGATGATAGATACTGTTTCCAACTACGGAAAAGAGATTTTGTAACTCCACAGTAAATGCTTCAGCAAAGATTGAATCATTTAATTTTTCTATCGCAAATGGTGTTTTTACCATAAGCTGCCTTTAATTACGAAGTTTCAGCTTAATGTTTGCTTTAAGTAGGTAATGGTCAGTTCCAATATCTGCACTTCTTTATTTATGTAATGACTTCCACTTTTAACTAATACAGATAAAGTCTATGCCATTGAAATTGCGCCTGTCTGGTGACCGCTAGGTTTTTTATGGATCAGCCAATGTTGGAAGTATGTGTTCCCAACATGTGTCTCGTTTTGTGAACACATTCCGTTGTGTTCACAAAACGATGTTAGCCTTTCTCCATTGTCATTCATATGTGCACAAGACACATGAGCATCAATCACAGTCTCGAGGCCTCCACAGTCATCGCTCAATTGGGCATTAAAGTCCCCAATTAGGACCTTCAGATCATAATTCGTAATACCATCAAAGTCGTCTTGGAGCTGTCGTAAAATTCATCTATTATTATTTTTTCTGCATTGTTAGTTGGCGCATAAAAGTGATCGCAGAAGAACCTTCATCGAAGGACTTCCCTTCTCTCTCTTTTACTCAGAATTAGACCTACTTCACGTTCGTGCAGCTCTTCATTTCCAGGGTACAAAATGGTCTTGCCATCATTACTGATTCGGCTGTTTGTTTTCTATCTATCCTTACTGACTCCAAGGAAGTCCAACCAGTTTTCATCAAATCTGTAATAATTGAGCGAGTCTTTCACTCTAATATAAGGTACGCACATTTCACGTTCCAATTTTCTTAATATTTCTTGCAGAAAAGTCTTTTCAGACATCGGACATCGTTGTTGGTTTCCTCCAAAGCCGTCATGTTACTTGGAGCCACAATTACGCCTATTCAATTAAAATTTCTGTTTATTCTTGCTGTTTCTGTAGCACTCATAATTTTTATAGAGACAGGTTACTAACCTAACGCTTAACCCTTCATTATATATCAGGTAAATATTTTCTGATATTCAAACTCCGTTTTTTAACGCCTCGTATAGTTTTA